CACACACACACACACACACACACACACACACACTTGTATTTGCATCAAACTGAGGACTTTGTATTGACTTCAATTCATTTTTTTAACTGTATTTATGACTAACCCAGATATTTTCTCTAAAATTAACCATTACTGATCTATAGTTAACCCTAACCTGAACCTGAACTTGCTTGCAGTGATTGTCTCAAAAGGTTGGCAACAAATATTAAGTTACAGGTACCATCATATTTGTCAGGGCTTGTTTCACTTGTTTTTTTATTTTATTTATTTTTTATTATCCTGTTGAACCACAATTCAAAAGCAATTTCTGATTTTCACTGGGTATTTTTCTTTAGTAATTTTTTATTTTTACTTTTTTCTTTCTCAGTGACCATTGTGGGGTTTACCAACAATTATGTCCAGGTGTGTAGATGTCAAAAAATAAATACAAGATATGAATCTGACAAACTTTACGGTCTGCTCGAAGAAACACACCTGATCCTGTGATGATGTAGCCGTCCCCCTCCGGCACAAAGCAGAGCGCAGTCACAGCGTTGAACGTGTAGATGGACTTGACACACTGCCCTGAGGGAAGGAAGCAGCAGAGTAATTGAAAAGATGCAGGACATCATTATTTCTTCAGGTTGTACTATCTTTGTGTGGGAATCATACCAACGCTTAGGGCCCAGATTTTCACATGGCAGTCGGCGGAGCCGCTCAAAATGAACCGCTCTTTATCGGATAAGAACAGGGACCGGGCTGGTGAGAGGGGCAAAACACGGACCGATTGGAACAAAAACAAAAGAGGAGAAAGAAAAATAGACTTATGCAATTAAGTGATGATGCAAAAAAATAATAAAAACAGAAAGAGAATACAGGATGGTAAACATACACTTTTCCCACAGTAAAATTCATTTTCAAGGTAAATTTATAACTTTTCCAGCACCAAACTTTACAGCAGTCTGTCTCTCTGTGAGCTTCATAACCACGGCACAGACAGACTTCCCTGTGTGAAGTGAGAATACGCAACTGAATCAAATCAAATTCTGCAAGTTCTAATATTAATATGAAATGGAGATGTGGRCAGAAGGATCTCAAAACAAATCAAGCACTTGCCAAACCTTGAAAACACTTTGGTAAAATTCAAGCATATTCCAAGGATTTCAAGCACCCGTCCCATATGAACCCTGGGAGGTTACAACCCCTGAAAAAAAGTATGGAATCACCAGTCTTGGATGAGCACTCATTCACACATTTCATTCTGTAAAACAAACTCAGATCAAAAACATGAAACAATAATAAGGTCATTCCAAAGTGCAACTTGTTGGCTTTCAGGAACACTCAAAGAAATGAAGAGAAAACCTTGTTTACATTGACATTTTGGACAGCTTTTTCATCCTTTCAGTGAATGTTACTTTTCTTGACCAAGCACAGGGGGAAAAAATGGAATCACTCAATTCTGAGGAAAAAAGTATGGAATCACTCAAATTGGAGGTAGAAAATAAGGACACACCCAGTCAATTTCCTTTCCCTAAATGGACACCTGCCTCAGATTAGATCTGTTCGTTAGTCTGCAGTTAAAAACACCTGCAGTCATGACAACTTGGAGGGCTGCTGGACGAAGTGGAGTGGCAAGAACCATGGCTCCAACAAAAGAAATGTCTCTTGAAACCAAAGAGAGGATTGTGAAACTTCTTGAAGAAGGTAACTCTTCACACATGGTTGTTAAAGATGTGGGCTGTTCACAGTCAGCTGTATCCAAGATATGGACCAAATACAAACAGCATGGAATGGTTGTTAAAGCCAAGCGTACTGGTAGACCAAGAAAGACATCAAAGCATCAAGACAAACAAAAGGCCATTTGTCTTGAAAACCAAAAAAGTACAGCTAAATAGATGAAGCATAACTGGGAGGAAGCTGGAGCCAATGTATGTGACCGAACTGTAAGAAATTGTCTAAAGGCAATGGGATTTCAATACAAGAAAGCTAAAAGAAAACCATCATTGACACCTAAACACAAAAGAACAAGACTGCAATGGGCTGAGGAGAGGCAAACATGGACTGTGGATGACTGGATGAAAGTTATCTTCAGTGATGTGTCAAGAATCTGCATTGGACAAGGTGATGATGCTGGAACTTTTGTTTGGTGCCGTTCCAGTGAGATTTATGAAGAGGACTGCCTGAAGAAAACAACCAAATTTCCACAGTCCTTGATGATATGGGGCTGCATGTCAGGCAAAGGCACTGGGGAGATGACTGTGGTTAATTCTTCTTTCAATGAACAAGTTTACATTGACATTTGGACAGTTTTCTCATCCCTTCAATTGAACAGATATTTGGAGGTGATGAAAAAAAATGGTCCACAAGAAGGCTCCGACCTGCAAAGCTGATCTGGCAACTGCTATCAAAGAGAGTTGGCACCAAATAGATGAAGAATACTGTTTGTCACTCATCAAGTCCATGCCTCAGAGACTGCAAGCCGTTATAAAAGCCAAAGGTGGTGAAACTAAATACTAGTGATGTACTTTGAATGGTCTTTTATCTGTTTTTCATGATTCCATACTTTTTTCCTCAGAATTGAGTGATTCCATATTTTTTCCCTGTGCTTGGTCAATAAAAGTAACATTCACTGACTTCCACAATGTTTTCTCCTCATTTCTTTGAGTGTTCCTGAAAGYCAACAAGTTGCACTTTGGAATGATCTTATTATTGTTTCATGTTTTTGATCTGAGTTTGTTTTACAGAATGAAATGTCTGAATGAGTTTTCATCCAAGACTGATGATTCCATACCTTTTTTCAGGGGTTGTACCAAGGAGCGACTGCTGCTGTTAATCCACTGCACTTCCACCTTGGATTAGTTAAGTTGGGGAAGCAGGTGGGAAGGTGGTTTATGAGGCGAGCCGGAGTCAAATGATGGAGACCTGCTTGCCTCAGACAGACAGTGAACTCTCTTAAGTGTCTACTGAGCTTATTTCTCACTGGAGTTGATCTGATGAACTGCTCCTATAATTACAAGGCCGCGGGACGCAGACATCGCTCAGCAGCAGTGCAGCGGCGTGCACTCACCCAGCTTCCTGCAGTGCTCGAGGGGAGGCGCAGACAGACAGGTCACTCCGCCGGTGTGACCCCCCAGGTTCTTCTGCTCCGTTGCCGTGGGAACATGCCACACCTTCACCGTTGTATCGCGACTTACAGATGGGAGGAGCGACGAAGAGGAGACAGAAGAGCACAGAGGCAGAACGTTGGAAGTTCATTTAACGTAAAACAGAAAGGATTTGAAGCAGCGTGATGAGGACAAACATGTCAGGCAGCGGGGAAAGAGCAAACGCTTATTAAGCAATAAATTAGGTGGAATGTTCATGTTCCACATCCATTATGCTAATTATGTGCTGCTTTACCTTCCAGAAACAACCAGGTTGTCAACAGCAACCACACTGGTGATGATGTCGTTGTGGCCCTCCAGCAGCCTCAAGCGAAACCTCGCCTTCTCCCAAGATGCTTTGAGGGATGTAAACTCAGCTTCTGTAAAGAAAACGATTCGTGAAATTAGCATTGTTGACTCATCGGCACCCCGGCCACAGCGCACGGTTCTTCCATATGGATTAGTAAAGCGTGGGGCTAAATGAGCTCCACGGATGCAAAACGTGGGCCCTGCCTTCAGGGGAGAGAGTGCAGCCTGTTGGTTTTAATCCCGACAGCCACGTGAGCTTGTTAAGACTCCCTGGGGCATACATCTGTAATCTGGTTTTAGATGGTAATCGAAAATTAGGGCAGTTTTGCACTTTTAACAGCCTGAAAAAAAAAGTGCGGCGGTGTCACTTTTCTGCTGATTAGCCCACCTTCCTGTCGCAGTAGCTGCTCTGTGTCGCGGTCTGGACAGCCTCCTGACTCATCTCCACTCTGATGTGACACCTTGGCCGGCTCTGGCCCGTCCTGCAGCCTGTCCGGTTCTGCTGCGTCCCGTCTTGCCACCCTCTGCCTGGCAGCCGGCGCTGCTTGAGCCCTGGACTCCATTTCCCCCTTAAGGATCTTGGAGGCTGGAGGCGTTTGTGATGGAAGAGCCTCGAGGGCATCCTCCCTGTGCCAGTGCAGAAATCAGGATGAATGAATAATCGAGATGTAGAATGCACACAACATTCTGTGACAACAAAAATATCACACGTGTGGAAGATCTTTAGGTCCCATACAAACAAAATCAACAACAGCAGATTATGTGTTGGACAGAATTAAGGAGTATTATTCACACAGGCTGAGGGGACCACACCACTGACTGATGTTTACGTGACACAAACAGAAGGAAGTCCCATTTTCTAGAAGCACCAGAGTATTTGACCTCATGTGTTTTTGGACAGACACACAAAAAAGATCAAAGGCTTCAAAGTGAATGTTGTTGCTTTTGAAAAACGATGCTTCTATCCATACGGCCCCTCCACCTCTCCCTCACGTTCTTACACTTGTCTTTTCATCTTCTCCTTATTTCCGTCTCCCACAATCCCAAGAGTTTGCTGCGGGCCAGAAAGCTGCAGCTGAAGCTCAGCCAATCTGGAGCGCAGCTCCGCCTTCCTGGAGATCTGACAGGGAAGAAGTGGAGAGATTGGTTGTAATGCAAGCTGCTAAATCCACAAGTTGTTTTTATCTTGTTTACATGCACAAGCAGATCACTCGGCCCGTCTCCACTTATTAGGCTGCAGCTCACAGCGCAGCCCCTACTTCTGTCTGATTGAGAGCTTTGAAATATGCATGACTGACTAAGCTGGATGTCAAGTGTAGCTCAAGTGTTTGTTTTCTCTGTTAAAGGAGCACTCCATCAACTTTACTGAGTTTGTCACACAGTTTATGAGCCATCAGCAGTTCTGCAGAAAACAATTATACATCTTTTGTGGGTTTGATGGGACTGATACGCTTATTTATTTTGTGTGATTGTAGACAACAGATTTTTAATTTTTAACAAGATATGACACATTTACAGCACAAGAAACTGGAAATTCGACTGACTTTCACTGTGGGAATTGCAATTTTCAGAGCAAATTAATCTGTGTCTGCATGACTCATATGTTGTTTTACTTTTCCAAGCTGGGTGTCTGAATTCACTACAAACTTTAAGATTCCAAATTGGAGTCTGAATCTTCTCAAAATAAGTGAACTAGTCTTCCATGGCAGTAAGACAATTGCACTTGGTTAGACTACTTGAAATAAGGGACATTTCTAGGTAATAAGATAAATAAAAGAACACATTCTGCTCTTGCTTAGTATATTAGTCTGAAAACAAGATCAAAAAGACTTTTTGGCTGGATATAAGACTGAAAGACTTGGTTAGATGAACAGTTTTTTGCAGTGAAATAAATAAACAACATTTATTTCTTTCACACTTTTGTGCTTCAAAGATTTCAAACTATTATAAAAATCTGATTTGTAGGTACATCACATTCCAGACTGAATAAAATGGTCAAAGCTTTATTTTACAAGTTGGTTTTCACTTTGTGGTTTAAAGTAAATTGAGAATTAAATGCTTTACTTAACATCAGAGAAAAAAAACAGGTAATAATGTACTCCATTATGCAGAGAAGAGAGAAGAGCAAAGTCAAGTGTCTCACCATGAAACTAAAATAACTCAGAACAGTGGCCGTGTTGGATTTTGATAAAAACAAAACAAAGATATTTACTTAAATCCTTAAAAAATGTATTAAAACTGTGTCTGCTATGACTTCCTTTCATTTTACAGACAAAAAATTGATCTTCTGCCCTCATTGTGATTATTTTTAAGAAAGTAGTTTAAATCTGCACAAGTTTTTGTCACAATTCTCCCACCCTCAGAGCTAAAACTTGGAATATCAAACAAAATTTACTCTCATCTTCTAAAGTCCTAAAAGTCTACTTCAAATATTTTATTTTCTTCTTAATTGGCAGTTATTAGTTTAATCCTGTTTAGTTTAATTAGTCATAATTATGATGCTGCTCTTTTTTGTCTGAAGTATCTTTGCTGAAACTAAACAGAAGGAAGTTTCAACTTAATATATAAATATAAATATTTAACTGTTATCAATAAAGAAATGAAATTTCTACTAAAACGAAGGCTATAGATAGATATAACTAATTCCCTTTGTTTTAAGGTAGTAAAACAGTGTAATTTGTCATAAATAAAATGCTCATTATTTACAGAAATATTCTTAGTAACTAAATAAGAACTTTAAACTGAATATTAACTGTTATCAATAAAATGAACTTCCCATTGAAATTATTATTTTATCTATTTTCCTTCATTTTAAGTGTATATTCATAGGGAAAAATGACTATTATCTTCTCTCAGTGGGAGTAAATCACCCAGTAATTCCCTTTGAAGGAAGTTATTTACATATCATTGCTGTGTTTTGGTTGTCTGCATGTGTCGGTTTACAGAATATTAGAGAAAACTCGATGTGACCTAAAAATTCTCTCTGTGATTCGTATCAGTAACTTCCACCACCACCCATGTATTTATCATCTTCTCCCCCAATTAAACGTCGCAGGAGTTCAGCTGAGACAAACCAGTGTTGTAGGGCACAGCCATCATTTTTCTACAGCATCCGTCCCGTGACCTTTAACGAGTCTTTTCCTAAACTTACTGATTATTTTTGTCCTGATGCGCTGAGCTCAGTGTAGATGATCTGATCTGCTCAGATCCCAGAGCAGAAGCTGTCAAATTATTCATCGCTCCATTATTTATTCATGTTAATCACTGCCTTTATGAAGCCAACACACTTTTTTCAAATAGAACAAGAATTCATTTGCATTTCTTTTGCAGCAGTTTTTAAGCCATCATCTTTATAAAGTGACAAATCAGCTGTGTAAGAAACTGGAAAGGAAAGTGTAAAGTAGATCTGTGCCCCTTTTTATGATTTAATTTGGTTTGTTGCTTTAAATCTTTGTTTCCTCTTTAGGGAAATGTATCTTGGATTAGCCAAAGTCACAAAACGCAGGTCACAGGAATATGAAAAGGCAGATGATGTGTTTCTGTACCTTGAATTTCTCCTCTGGGCTGAGACTGATTTTTATTTCCAGATTTTCAATCTGTCTCAGTTTCTTCTGCAGCTTCCTCACCTCCCCCATTTGAAACTGTGCCGCTATCTAAACCCACCCGCAGGTCTCAATAAAACAAAACAAAACAAAAAAATAACACAGAGTTTCATAAAAGCCTCACATGAACAACATCTCTGATTAATACCGACCCTCTAACTCTTAAATTAGTGGAGATGTCGCGGGCGGACTAGCGGTGTGTTTTGAAGACGTGTCGCCGGATGTTGACGAACTGAAAGGAGTGTTTGTCGTTCTTACAGAGACACCCTGTGGCTGGTTCAGGTACTGCAGCGAAAGTAGACGAGTTTGCTGTGCTTTTACAATTTTACTTAAAAAATAAAAATATTCGAGTTTGATTAAGTTTATTTAACATATACAAGCCTAACAATAAAATAAAATGTTAGCCTGAGGACAAAGAAGATTTATGTTGCCTTCACTGCCACCCTTTTGGCTCATAATTCAGAAATTTACCAATTTAAAAAGGAAAATTTCCATTAATTGTTTGTGTCCTGGCACTGTAACATACTTGGYGCTATTTTAAAATGTATATATCAAATCGATCAGCCCGATAAGGAATATTATAATTTTTAGTTTTGTTTGGAACCTTTTATGGCCTACTTTCAGAATATTTAACTTTATTTTTTCAATAATGAAATTAATTTCCCACAAAAATAAATTGAGATATCTTCAGTTTTACACATTTTAATTTAAAATCTGCTTCAACCTACATGCTTTAATTATCTCGCTGTGTCTTAATTGTAAACAGCCCTCTCTTTAGCTTTAGGCAACCAATTTGCTTCTTTTAGATTTTTAAAAACATTTATTGTTTTAGTTTGTTACTTTCATACACCTTTTTTTGCTACTTTAATATTTTATTCTGCACATTTATTTACACAATTTAGCTACAGATTTGATGACTTTAGCTACTGTTTTACTTCAAGCATGTTTTGGTAATTGTAACTACAGCTTCTAGCTAGTGTTCATTTGTTTTTAGTTGGTCTGCTGTTTTCAGAGTTTAGCTGGTGTTCTGCTTTTAGCTACTGTTACTAATTTTAGCATGTTTCATTAATGCTAGTTTTAGCTACTGTTTTTTAGCTAGAGTCCAGTTGTTTTAGGATTTAGTTAGTGTTCTAGTGTTTTCAGATTTTAGCTAGTGTTCTGTTGTTTTTACCTTTAGCTTCTGTTCTGGCCCTGGCTTTTGTATTTCTTATAATYTTAACCTATGATTATTGTTTTAACGTTGACATACTAACTATTCGTTTGTCTTTGACGCGTCAGCCACTAAACTAGAGAAACATTTCAGACACATTTTCTAAAAATCAGAACTATAGATTTTTCACGTTACCGATATTTCCGATGAAACGTGAAGGCATCGTTTCAATTTTTTCACAAAATAAAAACTCGAATGTGAAAGTAAAATGGTTAGATTCAATTCCTACTGGAGCAAAATCTCAATATCCCTAAAATCCTTTTTATGAAGATTTTAGGGGAATTTTTAAATTAATCTGATACCGGAAGTGACATCACTGCTCACTCCTTTTGTCTGACGACCTTATCGGGAGGAAGTGAAGCTCAGACAAGGCTACTGGCTAAGCGAAGGGGGAAAAAAAATAAAAAAAAGAGTAAGCGATAGGAGGAGGGGGGGCGGACTTCACGGATTTAAAGGAATTTTTATAGAGTTGGACCCCGGATCCAGACCGTTCTGGCCGTTTGGAGTTCTTGAGAAGACGACGGAATCGTCGGTACCGGTAAACACGACATTTCTCCACGCTGTCGCCCGTAATTTAATGTTCGAGTCGCTGCCTCCTCTCCAACGTCTCCGCAGCCGGAAGTCTGTTCTGAG